AGCATATGTCCCCTCCATGTCGCATATCAACATTCATGTACTACCAGCAAAACAAAAAAGGTGATCCAAAGCAAAATAAAAATACGTTACTTTAGGGAGCCAATTTGGATCCCTTTGCAAACAGTTAAGGTACCTTACTCTTTATGGATGTCTTAACAGAAAAAAGAGCAAATACCGTGTGTGAGGAATTTTGATGCTTAAGCATACTTGTTGTATGAGGACGGGAGTTGCCAAAGCATGAAAGTGATCCCTTCAGAAAATATCAACCTTCTTTTTTCCTTTTTTTTTTTTCTTTTTTGCCTCATCAAATTATATCACAACTCTTTAGTTTCCAACAATAAGCAAGGAATAAAGAGCATTTCTGCTTTTACTTGATTATTTAGTATTAGATCAAACCATACAAGGCTTTTTGCCTTGTACCATAGTTATAATAAGACCTCAAAATCATGCACATGTTAAATGTTTCCTTTGGGTTTTCTTCATCCTCCCAAGGAAAAAACCAATGACAGAAGAACACAAGCAATTAAACATGCTCTAATGGAGTTGATTAATGGAGCATTTTAACCAAAGTTTGTAGCATTAGTCTAGCATTTATCTCAATTATTTGATGGCTTTATAATCAATTCAGCTGCAACTTCCTGCACACATTCTTTCCATAACTATTCCTTTCCATCTCTCTTTCCCTTACCCATGCTAACATGCATAAGATAGAAGGATTTGTAAACTTAAAAACACTTCAATACATAAGAGTTCAAAACTTTATCTTTATTACATCATCTTTTTAAGTTCAATATATATTTTTAGTAATAAGAAGTAAAGATTCTAATTTGGATAACTAAGGTACTTTCTATTGTATACAAATCAATAGACTTTCATTCATACATTTTCTATGAAAAAACGTTTACCATTCGTTTTTATCAGAAACGTGAAGACGAGGCTAGTGCTTCGCAAGGCTGGGCCTCCCTTTACATTTATTTTCAATTGTTTTTAGGTTATATATGCTCGTCTTAAAATTTGACACATTATAACTCTATAAACAGATATTCAACTTCAAGGTTAATAACAAATTACGAAGGCTTTGTCAAGGCTGAATGTTATCTTTTTGAAAACCAAAATAATTTATAAAGTCATTCTGATGACATTTTATCTACAAATCATGTTATCAGTATAATATTGACCTTGACACAGAATTTACGCCTTATGAATTTTCAATTGCACAATAGGTACAGTAGAGTTGTACAATATTTCCAATTTTACCTAAAATCTATAATTACTATTAAATGTTATTGAATTCATCTATATCTAGTGTTGCATCAAAATACTTTAAATAATAGATTTATATTTAATGTACTGACAGCGTATAATTTTTATACACTATTAGTTCATCCCAAAATACTATGTTGTTAATAAATAAAAATAGAACTTTTTAATATTTTGAAAATAAATATAATTTTTGTTTTACTGTTTTCTTCAATCTCTTTTACAAATTTCTCTCAAACTTCTTTTTTTTTTTTTGTTCTTGACTATCATATTTTCTCTAATCAATCATTCTCTTTTCATTGTGATAAAGAGAAAACGAAAACAAAGAAAACACCTTATTTATTCGTTCTTTCAGTTGGGGAAGAACAAAGAAGAAAATTAAACCTGCACCTTTTCTTTCTTTGCTTTAATGTTTTCCTTTTCCAGAAAACAAAAGGAGTAGAACAGAAGAAACTAAGGAGGAGAAATTGAACGAGATACCAATAAGAATTTGAAAGAGAAAACAAAGAGTGCTACGGGTGTGGATGGAATGGAGATCTCTCTCAAAAAGGGAGAAAATGAGAGATAAGATATAATATTTAATTAAATTTTCATAAATATTATCGAAAAAAAAAATAAAGAAACGAGTTTATTTAATATTGGAGATAATATTTTTTGCTGGGAAAAAAATTGAAAGAGAAAGGGAGAGGAAAGCTAGGTCGGCGGTACCATGTAGGAGTTAATGTACAATAAAAGTGAAGGATGTTAAACTTTGCAATTTCTTCCTTTAGTCAATTCGTGTTTAACAATATCTTTTGCCTGTTAAGTTTGGGTTGATGCTACGTCGAACGTACAAAGAAGACTTTGAAAGGTTGATTTCAATAAAGTTAATATTAGGAAATTTATTGTTAACATTTTTTTGTTAGTTTATAATTTTGAATTTTTTTACTCATAAAGAAAAAATAATTTTTTTGCTGAAGTTCTTAGTAATTGATCAAAGAGAGAGAGTTTTTATTTTGATTTGAATGTCTCTGTACATGAGGAACAAGAGAGGGAATTGAGGGAAATTCCTAATGGAGTTTAGAAAGAAAGTGAAAAGATTATAGTTTTTATTTGATTATGTCTAAAATAATTTTTTTGTATTTATTTTCAAGACCCTTAAGAGTTCTATTTTAATTTATTAACGACTTCACACTTTGTAGTAAGCCGATAATGTGTATAGAAACTATACCATATTAGTGTATCAAATATAACTCCATTAAAGGTTATATAATTAATGGATTAGCATCTAAATATTTGATTTAATTTTTTTTAAAAAAATATTAAGAGATTTTTGGAGTATTAAGACAATAAAGAATCGTTAAAACACAACAATTGCCCTTTTAAATTATTTACTTAATAGTGGATTAACAGTCAAACAGCACATTAATGAGTCTTTTCCCTAAGTGACGTTTTCTCTATTCAATTCAAATTAAAGTGCTTTTAACCTAATCTTTCAAAAATTAAAATAGAAACCTGAAATCCATTGTACCAAAAATATAAAAGCAATAAATAAAATTCTACACAAGAATTATTAAGAATTTTTTAATACAAGCACGGGAACCTCTCAGTCTATTTCAGTTACATATATATGTAACTACTACTTGGTACGAACTAATTTAACAACGCAATTCGCTTATCTAATTATTATCAAGGAACAACGTAATTAATGGAGTAACATCCTCGATTAGGTAGGGTTTGGCTTCATTTATATATAAAAAGTACTATATAAATATTGTCTGTGTGTGTGTGTGCTTTTTAAATTTTTGCTTCATCAAATTTTAGATTATTCAATTAGAATTCTAATTAAAATTTGAAACTCAAAAAAGTTGTCCCCATCTTATGCGCTCTATTTTTTTGTTCTTTTTGGAATTCTAATTTGAAACTTTGAAAAATATCAAATTCTAAATAATCATGCTTATTAGGTGGAAGAAAAATTTTAAGTATAACACTTAAATAAGCTCTTAAATTATTAAAAAAAATTCAAATAAGTCATTATTCTTTTACTAACATTCAATCAAGATCTAATATTTTTATTTTTGATCGAATAAGCTCTTATAATTAATGATTGATTAATTACTATTAATCAAAATACTACTTGTCATTTTAGATCCATATGGCCTTAATGTAGATAGTGAAAATACCATTTGATCATATTATTATTTCAAATTAATCTGTCACATTATCATAAATAATAATATGTCAACATGTTATATCATTATTAATTATAATATGTTAACATGTCATATCAATGTCACATGACATCACACAACATCGAATGATAAATAATATTTTAATTAAGTTAATTATTAGTCATAAGCTCGTATTTTACTTAAAATAAAAAGTATAAAGACTTATTTGAATTTTTTCTAAATAGTTTAAGACTTTTTTTTTTGTATTATGCTAAACTCTTACTTACAATAATAAGATTCATTCCATCACTTATTGATTGGGGATTCCTGACATTTTCTTCCACTTAATTGTGCAACATAGCTTTTTCACAATAGAAGAGAAGGATTGGTATAAGCTTATCTTTTTTTTTTTTTGGTAATTGGGGGCAAAAGATCATCCTTGGATGATCTCTTACTCTTTAGACAATAGATTATACACTAATTAATAAGTCAAATATTCAAGTGTTAATCTAAGTCTATCTTGACTTTGATATTTTTCATGAGATTATCTCACATCAATTAAACGTTAGATAGATTTTGATACAACTTATCATGCACACTCTCACTCTAAAAAATATATGAGAAAGACCCTTTGCTCAAGACCTATCCAATCAAGTGATATCCATGGCATCAACTCTTATCTCTTAATTTAAAATTTAAAATTTAAAAATAAGTAATTTTAGTTTAACTTTTATCAATAATAATAAACATTAATAAATTTTTTTTAAAAAAAGAAAAGAAAAGAAAAGAGAGAGAATTTGGTAAAAACAGTTGGTGAGCATGTGATGTGCTTCACAAGAAACAATATTTTGTTCCTTGTTTTAATTTCCAGCCAGTAATAGCAACAACTGTTTTTTCGGACCCAATTGTTGAATAACGTATGACCGGTCATTGTGTAGTTTGAACCATGAGAATAGCAAATTTCTTTTCCCTCCTTTGAATAAAGGGATTTATTAACAAAAATAGCAGGAAAACCGGGTCACCCTTCTAGAAGACCAGCGTGTAAAAGAACAACAACAAAAAAAAAAAAGGGAAAAAGAAAAGCTAAAAAAAGGCAATTAAGATTCCATCACGTAATGTTGAGTAGGCAGATTTGCCAGATAATTTTCCCAATATATATTTCTTTATGGAAGCGAAAGAATGTATCAGATTTTGAAGTTAATGAGAAATTAAAAGGAAGAATTACTAAATAAGGAGATAAAAAGCTTAAAATAATTAAAAGAAAGAGAAAAATAGTACTGCAATAGCTTATATATAGACCTCTAGAGACGCCCGTTGTTGGAGCATTATCACACTTCTCTACGTCTATCTCACTCTCTTTCTGGTACTTTGCCTTTTCCTTTTTCTTATTCATGCCACGTTAATGTATGTAAAGACTCTCTTCCCTTCACGCTACTTTCTTTTATCGCTTTTGTGTTTTGGTGTTCTTAGCTAGGCATGCTTTCGTACAAATCCCAAGAAAATGGGGTTTTTCTGATCAAGACGAAACTATAACGTATGCAGAGAACTACCGGAGAAGAAGACTGGGGAAAAAAGATTAATTAATATTGCATGAAAGAGATGGCAGATGATGATAAGGGAAACAAGAACGACAAGAACAAGAAAGCAGATAATCAGAAGGTGCCTTTTTACAAGCTGTTTACGTTTGCTGATAGATTGGATATCGTTTTGATCATAGTCGGGACGATCGCGGCTATTGCCAATGGGCTGACGCAGCCTATCATGACGCTCATATTTGGACAACTGATCAATTCTTTCGGTGCCACCACTCCATCCAACGTCGTGAAAGAAGTCTCAAAGGTTAAACCAAAAAATTAATTTTCTATCATTTCTTGTTTTTCTCCTTTTTTGTTGGGTTAATTTCTTTTCGGATTTAGTTTCACGTGGAAGCATCATTGACATTCCAACTGCAACTAGTCATCTAAGGTTTGGCTTCTAAGCAATGTTCATAGAATCAAAACAAGAAGAAGCAACCCAAACCATGGCTGGCGTTTACTGATATTTACAGAATTAAGAAACTGAAATTGGGATCAGTGATCAGTCTTACTTCTCTTTTTGTTTCCCCTCTCCACTGAAACGAACAAGATCAGAAGATGAACATGGACTAATTTCTGCTTCAATTTGATGCTCATAAATACATGAATTAATGAAAGCTGTTTTGGATTTCTTTCCTTTTTTGAACGTGGTTCATCCTGATTAGGGGTAGAGGGCGTGATCATTAGGCCACAACTATGCAATGACTTTCCTTTTGTGAATCTTTATTCTTTCATTCCTTTTTGGCAAAGAGGGTAGAATCCAACTTAAATTCAACCGATTTGCTTCATGAGCCTAATGAAAAAATTTTGAATTGAGAATTGTAGACTCATGTAGCCCACTTTTTTTGTTTCGACCTTTGGCGTTATGGCCGACATAGGTTGGATTTAGACTAGGATATCATTGGCATTTCGGCATAGTCAGGTAAAGTTGTGACCATAGTGAGTATCTAAAGCTTTGTCTGCAAAATTATAGCTCTCAATTGTGTGGACCTGGAGAGCCTCTCAATTACACATGCTGTTTAAGTAATTAGTAGTCGTAAGTAGCAATAAATTTATGTTATATTGACTTAATGAAATTCTTTTATTTGTGTGATAAATTTCCAGATTGCAGTCAAGTTTTTATACTTGGGGATATATGCCTGCATTGCTTCACTTCTACGTAAGTGTTGATGTTGCTTGATTTACTTTATGGATAAAACCTAAGATTCTAGCAAATTAGGTGTAGTTTTAACTTGAAAGTAAAAAGTAGTAAATAATTCTTTTAAATCAAGAATTAATTTATTAATTTTCATGAATAACAAGATTAATAATTTGCAAATATATCTGCACGTTAGAGTTGGGGCAATGGGTTAAGTCTCATTATGATTGTGTTGTGCTGAAATTAATGACCTCTCAAGCACGGAACCCATTTGGCTATGATAGTGAGCAAGATATCATGACAATGATGATGCCAAAATGGCTTTGCATTTTCATGCCTAGAATTTGATAAATTTTATATTGAAATATATAGTAATCGAGAGCTTCCAGAAAGCTTCCTATGAAGAAGAAATGTGCATTGTTCTTTTAATGTTGAACTTTAAAATTTTGTTATCTGGGTAATTAATCCCCTAAGATCCGCTTTACTCTAGAGGAGAAAGTGGTGAAAATCAGCTAAGCTTTTGCATGTTGATTGGTATCATCTACATGTAACATATGCTAATGGTGATTTTACTTCATGTGTATTACAGAGGTAGTATGTTGGATGGTGACTGGGGAAAGACAGGCCACCCGGATTCGTGGTTTGTACTTGAAAACAATACTGAGGCAGGACATTGGCTTCTTTGACACTGAAACAACGACTGGAGAAGTCATCGGGAGGATGTCAGGGGATACTATTCTTATTCAAGAGGCAATGGGCGAGAAGGTTAATATATTATTTCTTCTGCATTTTAATAAGAAAAATGAAAAACAATTGCTATGAAAATCAATTGGCCTAACAAATTCATCCTGAGACACCACACCAGGGATTTTAACAGACAGTTTGTGACAGGTTGGGAAGTTCATACAACTTGTAGCAACTTTTATCGGTGGGTTTATAATTGCTTTTGCAAAAGGATGGCAACTTGCTCTATTACTATCGGCATGCATCCCTCTTGTTGCATTTGCTGGTGGAATCATGGCAATGATAATGGCAAAAATGTCAAGCAGAGGACAACTTGCTTATGCAGAAGCTGGAAATGTAGTAGAACAAACAATTGGAGCCATTAGAACTGTAAGCTTCAGTTTTCACCTATAAGTTTGTGTATATATTGTTCGGGAAAAATACCATTCAACTTAATTGATTGATTTTGTTGGTAATTCTTTCAGGTTGCATCCTTTACCGGGGAGAAACAGGCGATAGAAAAATATAACAGCAAGCTACAGGTCGCCTACACTGCCACCACTCATCAAGGGCTGGTATCAGGCGTAGGACTTGGTACAATGTTGGTTGTTGTCTTTTCCTCTTATGGACTCGCTGTATGGTATGGATCCAAATTGATCGCAGACCACGGGTACAATGGCGGACAAGTCATCAATGTTATAATAGCAATCATGACAGGAGGAATGTAAGTATAGCATCCCTTCAGATTTAGTACTTGTCATTCATGTGCAATTCTATTCTCTCATACCTGTGAAACATATTATTGCCAAGTTCTTGTCTCTTACATATTTTATTGTCTTGGGATTAGGTCATTGGGTCAGACAACTCCAAGTTTAAATGCGTTTGCATCAGGGCAAGCTGCAGCATATAAGATGTTCGAGACAATCCACCGGAAACCAACAATTGATGCTTATGACACCAGTGGAATAACATTGGAAGATATCGATGGTGAAATTGATCTCAAGGATGTGTATTTCAGGTATCCTGCCAGACCGGATGTGCAGATATTTTCTGGTTTCACATTGCATGTTCCAAGTGGCACAACTGCAGCTTTAGTTGGGCAGAGTGGGAGCGGGAAATCAACAGTAGTTAGCCTTGTAGAGAGATTCTATGATCCTGATTCTGGTGAAGTACTCATAGATGGCGTTGATTTGAAAAAGATGCAGCTCAGATGGATAAGAGGAAAAATTGGGCTAGTCAGTCAGGAACCGATTCTGTTTGCAACTAGTATTAGGGAAAACATAGCATATGGAAAGGAAAATGCAACTTATGAAGAGATTAGAACAGCAATTGAACTTGCTAATGCTGCCAAATTCATTGACAAGTTGCCCCAGGTAGGTAGTCTTATGTCAAAATGCACTGGTTTCCAATATTCTTCTATCATGTAAAAAGCTGGTTGACCCTGTCCACTCTTGGGCATGCCTCAGCTAGAAGCATCACTGAACTAATGGTTGATACACATTTGACACATAAAGGAGGCTGACCCCTAATCAAAAACATTTTTTTCTTCAACCTCTATCTTTCAAGCAAATAATTGAAGAATTGCTATATATCTGGCTACAGGGGCTTGACACCATGGTGGGTGAGCATGGAACTCAACTTTCGGGTGGACAAAAGCAAAGAATTGCAATAGCAAGGGCCATCTTAAAAAACCCAAGAATCCTCCTCCTTGATGAGGCTACAAGCGCTCTGGATGCTGAGTCTGAACGAGTTGTTCAAGAAGCACTGGTAAAAGTGATGTCAAATAGGACAACTGTGGTGGTGGCACATCGGTTGACAACAATCAGGAATGCTGACATAATAGCAGTGGTGCATCAAGGGAAGCTTGTGGAGAAAGGTAACATCTCTAAACTAGCTGTTTTAACCTAAGTTCCTAAACTTTTCACTAGGTTTTATAATATTAAGAGTTCAATTCTAGGAACGCATGAGGAGTTGATCAGAGATCCAGAAGGGGCTTATTCCCAGTTAGTTCGGCTGCAAGCGGGAGCTAAAGAGGCTGAAGATGCTCGAGCCAAGGATGTGGAAAAGTCAGATGCAACTTCTGAGATAGATAAGGCGATTACCAGGTCTGCAAGCCGGAGCTTGAGCTTGTCTTTGAGAAGGTCTATAAGCAGAAATTCATCAAGTAGCCGACATTCCTTCACATATAATTTTGGTGTTCCTGGTCCTATTAATTTCTGTGAGACTGAAGAAGGAAGCGTAGAGCCAAGTTTAACAGATGAATTTTCTGTTCAAAGACGCAAAAATGTTTCCATTAGACGGCTGGCCTCTCTGAACAAGCCTGAGGTGCCAGCTATAGTGATTGGATGCTTTGCTGCAGCTGTGCATGGAGTAATTTTTCCTTTGTTTGGTCTTTTTTTCTCATCGGCCATTAAATCATTCTTTGAGTCAACAAAGCAGCTCTTAAAAGATGCCAGGCAGTGGGCACTTTGTTATGTTGGAATGGGTGTTGTTATTCTAGTAGTTGGACCGGTGCAGAATTATTTATTTGCAGTTGCAGGCGGGAAATTGATTCAAAGAATTCGTTCCTTGACATTTGAGAAGGTAGTCCACCAAGAAATCAGTTGGTTTGATGATCCTGCGAATTCAAGGTATGTTTTAAGCAACCTTTTAACTTTCTCATATAGGCTAGAACGTCTTGCGGCTATAACAAGTCTCTTTTGAACTTCTCAGTGGTGCCGTTGGAGCAAGGTTGTCTACTGATGCGTCTACAGTAAGAAATCTTGTTGGTGATACCTTGGCCCTGATTGTACAAAACATGTCTACTATTGCAGCAGGATTAATCATAGCATTCTCAGCTAACTGGAGATTAGCTCTGGCAATCCTCGCAGTATCACCATTTATGTTACTTCAAGGATACCTTCAGATGAAATTTCTGAAAGGGTTCAGTGGTGATGCAAAGGTCAGCGATAGCCTAGGACAATTGAGTTGTCTAGATAAAGGGGTTTTCTGGGTTATGCTAAACTTTGAAAGTATATGTATATGCAGTTGATGTATGAAGAAGCGAGCCAAGTAGCTAATGATGCTGTTGGAAGTATCAGAACGGTTGCCTCTTTTTGTTCAGAACAGAAGGTGATGGATTTGTACGAAGAGAAATGTAAAGGCCCCATGAAACAGGGGGTCCGTCTCGGACTTGTGAGCGGTTTGGGATTCGGTTTCTCTTTCTTTGCTCTATATTGCACAAATGCCTTCTGTTTCTACATTGGAGCTGTACTAGTGAAGCATGGGAAAGCAACATTCGGAGAAGTATTCAAGGTAAACTTGAAACAATTCTTTTCCATTTTTCAGCAAACTATCTAGGAGTTGTTAACCTATTAATCTTAAAACTAATGGTTGTTTGCAGGTTTTCTTTGCTTTGACAATCTCAGCCATTGGTGTTTCACAAACCAGTGCCTTGGCTCCTGACACCAATAAAGCTAAGGATTCAGCAGCTTCAATATTTGAAATTCTTGACAGAAAGCCGGAAATTGACTCAAGCAGCACTGCTGGCACTACACTACCCAGTGTAACAGGCAACATTGAGTTGGAACATGTCAGCTTCAGATATCCAACACGACCAGATATTCAAATATTCAAAGACATGTGTTTGAGCATACCTTCTGGAAAGGTATTTACTGCCACTCCAACTTCAAAATTTTAGAAATCAATTCCACTTAAAACCTAGATCAATCTACTACTAGAGGTTTGCAAATTTATACTGGAGACTCCTTTGCTCAGTTTTCATATTATCTTTTTTTGCAGACTGTTGCACTTGTTGGAGAGAGTGGAAGTGGGAAGTCAACTGTCATCAGCCTCATAGAAAGATTTTATGATCCTAACTCTGGACGGGTAACATTGGATGGAATGGATCTCCGAAAGATTAGACTAAGCTGGCTGAGGCAACAAATGGGATTAGTGAGTCAGGAGCCTATACTCTTTAACGAGACCATCCGAACCAACTTAGCCTATGGCAAACAGGGAAATGCCACCGAAGAAGAGATCACGGCAGCAACAAAAGCAGCAAATGCACACAATTTTATCAGCTCATTGCCACAGGGATATGACACTTCAGTAGGGGAACGAGGAGTGCAGTTGTCTGGCGGGCAAAAGCAGCGAATAGCCATAGCAAGAGCCATACTAAAGGACCCGAAAATCCTTCTGCTCGATGAGGCAACCAGCGCTCTAGACGCGGAATCAGAGCGTGTGGTGCAGGAGGCATTGGACAGAGTCATGGTGAACAGAACAACCGTAGTTGTTGCTCACCGACTTACCACCATAAAGGGTGCTGATATTATTGCAGTAGTGAAAAATGGAGTTGTCGCTGAGAAGGGAAGACACGAGGCACTGATGAAGATTACTGACGGGGCTTATGCGTCCTTGGTGGCACTTCACATGTCTGCTGCATAACCATTGGAAGAGCGTGTAGGATAACTTTTCAGCTAAAACTCAAAACTCTGCAGATGAAGATTTTCAAACACAACTCCAATCTCCTGTAAACGGAATCAACGGGCCACAAGATGGGACATGTTGACGTTTGTTTTTGTACTCTTTTTCAAATTTCGTTCTCCTCGTTTTCTTTGGACGACGTCACTGAATAACTACATCGTCATGTGTATATCGTGTTGGTTATGAGTTAATGAGGAGAAAGAGGCAGAGAACCTTGATATTTTTAAAGAGCATTTGAAATTGTTATTCACACAATTCGGTAATAAGTTGGGTTTTTTTAATTATATTTTTACTCGAGAATTTTGGTTGTGATATTTCCATCTGAGTCGCATCTAGGGTCAAAAGTAAATAAAGAGAAACAAAACTCTTTGGACATATGCCGAGATTCAAATCCATGACCTCCAACTTCCATGAAATGCCACATAGTACATGCCTACAGCAAGGGAACACGGCACCAACTCCTTATGGATCAATCCCTTCATCTCCAGGTTGCAGCCAAAGAACCATGCAAACATACTGCTATTATGCTATCCAGAAAGTGATAAAAGAATACAAACAACAATGCAACAATGCATGGTAACTTCTTCTTTTTATCTTACAATACATATAAGGTAAAAGAATGAACATTTTAAAAGAACCCATCTGATTACTAGAGCATAATATGCCTTTTTCCTGTAATGAATAAACATCACACAGACTAAAGAGAAAAGTCATGCCCTTTTTTTGCTAGAGTGATAAATGCTTATACGTTAATAGACTTCACCAGCCTGATTATTGGAGGGAAGTCTCTGGCGCTTCTCAACATATGCTGATGGAAACCAGCCTGCCTTACCCTTGCATTCTCCTTCTGACCATCCAGATGGGCTTACCTGCATAAGCATACGAAGTTTTAAAAATCTGAACAAGTAAAGAGATCTCTCCCCCCACCCACCCACCCACACACAAAATGAAATCTAAATTTACATAATTTAAATTTTATTACTATTATTTGCTTTTGGAGGCATCAAAGCAAAGCATGGCATTCACTGCAATCAACAGCTTAAGCTAGAGCCAATTTAATGTAAGATTGAAAAGGACTGGCCCTAGAGTATCCCAGAAGGCATATGTTGTGCAAAACTTCATATAGTGGATGTACTGCAAGCTATGCAACAAGTGAAAAAGTATCCAGCATTTCTCTTCCTTTTTATTCCCTTTACATTAGCTTAGAGTGATCTCTACAACCATAACCTAGACCTCACTATTGAGCTAAATGCAACGTATATGCAACTTAGATATAGGGCTTAAAAAGGAAACGGAAGACCTTTCGCACAACAACGAAGTCACCTACTGCCAAGCTCAGCTCCTTCTCGGATGCAGCAAAAAAAGGATGCATTACCTGTGACAAGAAACTCAAAATATTAGTGCTTCATTCTCCTATAAGGGTTCAATATTTGTAAGAAGAAGCCCCTCCAAGGAAGAGAAGCTCACAAGTTAGAGCAACTACTTGATTCATTCTAATTTTGCTGTCCAATAAAAAATGTAAAAAGCATATCTAACAATAAGTTAATGTCTTCAACCATCAAATGATTTTCTTCTTTTTTTTTTTTGGGTCTCCAATGTTATATTTTTGTGTAAAACAGGATTTATTGCTGATGAACCTACTTGCAAGAACATTCTTCAAATTTTCAAGATTAGGTAAACTTACTTCAGCCAAGTAATACATGGTTTTCTCTGTGCCATTCTCTGGTGCAACCACAGGAGGAGCAGATTCTTTACGCTGTTTCTCAGAGACCATCTGACACAAGTTCCACATAAAGGTATATTTTTCCATAATTCAAATATAAAAGTTTTCTATACCAGAAACAAAGAAGCCTGGAACTAACCTCAGCTTCAATCTCGTTAAGAATAGCAGCTACTCTCAAATGATAAGTCTTTTCCCCTCCAACCTACAAATGCATAGAGCAAATCTTGAATGTCATCTATGAATTAAGATGTGCTTCAACTTGGAGACTGTATATACTTAAGTAATGTGCACGCATACCATAGCTACAAGCCTCTGTAAAGTCAGTCTTTGCTGCTGTGCTGCAACAGCAGCCAATGCAGCAGCAGCTTCTTTACCCAGAACTGCCATATTTGCTTTAAGTTCCTGCATCCTTGCTTCAGCTGCATGCAACTTTGCAACATTTTCAGGAAGAGGAACTTCTCTTATTCGTGCTTGTCTTCTGGAAACCTCTGCTGCCTGTTTGCTTTTCATATTCAGTATGAAATATAAGTTTCTGACGCAAATTTTAAGAATAGAAAATTTAAACTGATGTTTAATATATAGACAATTACTAATGCACAGGAAGCTCAGCTTTCTAATTACCTGCGCCTCTGCCTCCTGTCTCATTCGACTATAGCGTTGAGCAAGATGACGAGCATCTTCCAAAGGAGCACCAGTGATCATTGCTCTCAAGGGATCCAAAACCTAATGCATTTGGAAATAGAAGTTTCATATTTCTACTTGGCACTTGTTATTCTCAATCTAATGTAAACGAAGTATGCAATAGGACAAGTTTTGCTGAATTGTGAAATAGGAATTATAGATTCTCTGCATATATACAAGATTGCAGTTTTGTAGCATTTAAAAGGGAGTGCAATAAAAGCATCATACTCATTTTGGATTGAATGTGTTTACTGGTACTATAACTAAAATCTATTTTCAGATATGATAAAAAAACCTGTCAAAAATCATAACATCTGATAAAAGTCAAACCTGCTGGGATAACAGCTTAATTAAATCTTCTTGCTCCTTCTCTACATGTTTACGACCATCACCATAAATAGCTGCAGCTTTGGCAAGAATGTTTTCATTGATGTTTTCACTATTTTCAGTTCCATATCGGCAGCATTCCTCAGAGAACTTGGTTCCTGATTATCATAAAGATTAAGTACCATAAGTGCAAAGGCTTATCTGCAAAATATATTTTAGTTATTCCAATTGCACATATATTAATAATAGGACAATATAATTCAAAAAGTAAGAAAAAACATTGCACCTGTTTCAATATGCTTATACCCGATAGCTGTAAATACTTCTGCAGCTTTAATAACATCTTTCTGGAAATCCTGAAAGGAAGAAGATATATGCATTAAGCAAAAATTCAATTGACCAATGAAATTTGCTGTAAATATAAAACAAAATTAAAGGAAATCAATCTTTATGAAAGTTGCCAGGAGAGAATAATGTAACCAAGTTGCTAAAAGTATCACAATGTTATAAAGCAATGTTAGTAGTCTCACAAAATTTTGTTCCTTTTTAAAATGATTCCAAGGGTGTGTAACCGTAACTCCAACTCAAGTACACAGGATGCATTAAAGGGAGATGATATAGGTTCGTTGCTAAGTTTCAGTAAAATTACATGCTGATAATGGCTTCATTCTTAAAGAAAATACAGGTAATCATATGAGTATTCAGTCCTTTTTAAAGAACAAGAATCACGAATAATAAAGGAACGTGACACATGATTTTCATATTTATGTTTCACAAAGATTAAGGGGAAATTATCATTACCCTTCCTGAACGAGTGGACCTGTACAGTTTGTCCAGTTGTTGATGTCTTTGCATCTCAATCTCATCAATAACTATTACATCTGAGCTGTCATAACCAGTTCCACTAAATTGCTTTATTACAGCCTGCAAAACAAGTTTTCTAGATCAATAGGAGATGATAGTATTCTTTTAAAGCAAAATGGAACCAGCACTCTAACATAAGCATGCAAGAATTCAAAGCAACTAATCATTCCAATCAAAATTACACATGTGGAAGAAGGTAGGAAGAGAAAGCTTTTGATGGACAAGCAGGCTTCTAACAAGGTATCCAAATGAATAGCATCCATGGGCTTTCCAAAGCAAATTTCATTCAAGCAGCTTAACACAAAATCAAACCTTGTGCCATGTGTAGGCTAAATGTAATTAATATTAAAAGACAAAGCCAGTCGATCAACACATGACAGATGTTTCAAAGCACTTAGCATCTCACATTCCCACTGATTGCTTAACTTTCACTTAGCTTTGCCTCAATAAACACACTCTTCCTTAGTAGCTAGAAGGTAAAGGATGAAGCCTTGAAATAATACAAACTTTTGAAACTCTACTACTCTTTTCCATATGAAAGAAAAGGGGGGAATGCCAAAAAAAAAAAAAAACTTTTTGTAATGGTAGCTATAGTTTTTTTCACGATAGATAGCAGAAAATGAACCCAATTATTGTTTTCACTCTCACGAACTTCCAAATTTTGATAAATCTAGACAATGTGCTAAAAAGAATTAGACCACAGTAACTATTATAAACTAGATTGAATATTTAAAATTACCTCAACAATTCAATCTTTAACTCTTTTTGTTTTCTTTTCTCTTGGTTTTGATAAATGGATAATGACAATATTGCAGACTTAATATCTTTGATTACTTTGAATTCTGGAAATTTGGGGGTCGAATGTATTATGCACCAGGAATTAAAGATTGAATTGTTGAGATAATTCTAAGTGTTCAATTAAAGATTGAATTCTCCAAAAAACAGGTCTTTGCTTTCCTACATTTCCCCAGCAACCAAATAGAACAGCACCCAGTTCTCAAAAAAGCCAAAAAACTTTAAAAAAGAAAAAGAAAAGAAAAGGGTAGTGATGAAATTGCCTGCTGTTGCTTGGCGACTTGGTCTCTGAGCTTGCTGGCTTGCTTCCTCAAAGCATCCATTGCTGCTTCTGCTAATCCCTTCAGATCCTTTCAACTTCACAGCAAAACGGATTGCCAAAATGGGATTTCTTTAAATCTGAATTTTATTTTATTGATTGATAATAGACTTATCAGATCTGACAGCTGCGTCTACGTTAACTGCTTTACAAGCCCCTGTCTTGTTTTTCCTCTGAACTCCACTTCAATGTCGTAATTTTAGTTCTTTCTGACTTTTTCCTGTGATGGAGAGGTGTATCATCTCCTCTGAATTTGAACCGTTGGATGGGCCGACAAAAATTAATTGGCTTTTTCTTTGACTTCCCTTTCGGATAGCTCTGAGCCCGAATCTCTTTACGGGCTTTGTTCTTTATTGGCCTTAATTTTCTTGGCCCAATTTGGGTACCGTAGATGAAATATACTTTTATAAACCATTGCAATTTTCTTTAATTACCTTCATTAAGTACAAAAAATAGTAGGCTTCCCTTTGGAGAATTTAATGAGAATAAAATTGAATATAAATGTCCAAACCAAAGGAGAGAGCAAGGAAGTGAAAGTTCAATATTTGGTAATGGTTACCATCGTAGGGTGAGGGGGGAAAACGGGTAGAACCTGACATGACCATTATACAATGGCTTAGTTGATTCCTAATTCCGCAATTTTACATTCCATTTCCTCCTTTGGTGTTTTCAGGGATGCTCATGGTATAGGAACCAAGAAGGATAAGATTCCATCTGTGCTCGTGATCATTGTTGCAGTGTTCTCAAATGTGGCAGCCATGGACAGTGATGCTTTGTCTCTGTTGACAGCATGAGTGGGAATTAGTCAAACCAGTGTTCTAACAGAATCACAGAATAAAATCACCAGTAAATTATAAGGTCTTTTCAAGGAGTCGGATTTAGTTGAATTAGTACATTTTTTTAGTCACTATTGCATTGTTTTATTATACTATTACAGATAGGATTGAAATTGCAGGACAAGTTCATGCCAAAAAAAAGTCTTATAGCATATATATGAAAGTTGGTTTTGACCCATTTACAATAGGGAAGAGCTGAAGATATTGAAGAGAAGCTCGCTACTTCAGTTCTCTGATTTCTTCCCACCAGACAAGCAGCATCATTCTATCAGCTTGAGCAGAGTGAAGAGAGTTTACCAGAGATGGCAACCGAGTGCAGTCTGGAAGGAGAAAAGGATGGTTTAACAGCATATCAGCAGTCCACCTTTCACTGGGATCCCCTGCAAAACACTTCATTAGGAAATCTTTCCCTGCGGTCGACATGTTTTCGGGTTTTTTTGGCAAATTCCTCGAAGAAACGAGCTTGATCGCCAAATCCGTCAGGTTCCTAAATTCCCATGGTAGTTTTCCAGTAATCATCTCAAGAACAACGCACCCTAAAGACCATATATCTAATGAAGCACTGATTTCCACATCGGCAACAGATTCTGGTGCATGTAAACCGCCGTACCTGGAAACATTAGCATCCCAGCTGGCCCATCTACTTTCTCTCCAGGTTGCTTAGCCAGGCCAAAATCAGCAATCTTTAGACTATTAATCGAACCATACTGATCAAAAGGATAAACAAGGATGTTTTCTGGCTTGACATCACAGTGAACATAGCCTCTCTCATGAAAAACCCGAATCCCTTCAACCAGCATTCTCGCATAACACTTAACATCACATTCAGGTATCTTGCCACCATATTTCTTGATCATCAAGTCCAAAAGACTACCACCGGGAGCATATTCAAGAAACAAATTGTAAACCACCGCCCCTTCTCGATCAATGCTCAACATATGTATCACCAGAGCAATATTGAACAATATTTCTTCAATTCCTTTAGAAGGGAAATGAAATTTTGATAAAGACAAGATTTCACAGCATAACATTGATCAAGATCAGGTTTTTTGGGTTTCACCAAGTGAACAACTCCATACGAACCCTCACCGAGAGCCTTTGGATCCACTCCATAGTTAAACCATTCCTTGATACTCCTTTTACTACATCCTAATCCATGGCTGTCGATGAAAGTATAAGAATGAAAGAAACGAAAATAAGCAATAATCAAAGAAAACCAACCGAAGGATCAAAGTAATGAATTAACAAACTGTTTTCTGCAAACTTTGCTTCTTTTACAACTTCACCATAGATACAAACACCTTTAGAAAGCAGTAGTTTGAGTCCGTTTTTCACCCACATAATTTTACTTGGTTTTGGCAATTAAAATCTGTGTTGTCAACTTGTCATTGGCCATTTTCGCTTGGTTTATAGACTTCTGTAATATTTATCATAGTTAATATGACTATAAATTAATTTATGTCTTTGATTCGAAATTTCTTATGTTTTTGTTTTAGAAACATTTTATTATTCTCAATTTATGATGTTTGCTATTAAAAAAAAAAGCAAAAGAGGTGAATATTCTAGGAATTAAATCTTACAAATGTTGAAGGCCTATGTTATGAGTGCATACTATATGGAATGAAAAAAATATTGCTTCCAAGGTGTAAGTTCAATTCATTGGATAAGAATTATTAATTAATGTTTCATGAAGATAACCAAAATTCGATTATTTAAGCAATTAATTATTTATTTAAGACCAAAAAGAGAATTTTTGATAGACAGCAGAAGACAGAAGCAGTGAGGGAAAGACTGCATGCTTTGCAGAACCACTGCGGGTTCTCTTGTTGAAGGGTAATTCTTGGTCTCTTTTGGATAAATACAAAATCTTATCAAGTATCTATTAATGTTATTATTTTGGGGTTGGATGTGAGAATTGAAATCCTGATGCTACATACAAAACATGAAAATGACAAGCATTAAATGTGAGGTACATAAAATTTATGTTATGAGCCTTTATATAGTCAAAAGTATGGGTATTCCTATTAAAAACCAAACCACCCCAATTCCCTCATCTTGGAGATGTTTTCGTACCTTTGCCGACTTCAATACTTCAATCACATTTCACCGTATTCCTATTATACTCTTACCACACTTGTTAATGTTTTTCATGTGCGAGCCATCACTAATCTAACAACAAGATTATTCTAAGACTAATTGCAACTATTCTAATTTAAACATCAGTGACTTAATAACTTTTTTATATTAAATTATGTTATTTTTAAATTATTAAAAATAATTAATTTAAATTTTTATATAAATTTTAATAATCACATCTATGATTGATGTAAAAATAAATATCACAATCTTATGTTAGACAAAAAATAAATTTTTAAAAATATATAAATATGAGTATTGCACATTTTATCAAATTAATGTTTTAAGGAAAAATTAATGACTAGTAACTTTAGCACGTATTAGAACAAAAATAATCGGAAAAAAATTGCAATTGGATTACATATTACACAGATATAGTTACATGATTCTTTTTCTGTTTAGTCATCAACATTTATTTCTAAAATTAAAATTACTTTTAACCATTATTCATTTTTTTAATAATAAATATCTTTAAATAAAAAATATATATTTATATTTTTTAATTAAAAAATTTAAATTTATTTTTTAAATAAAAATTTATGTATTAATTAATAAATTAAATATTTAGATAAATTTTCATTCATCTGGTCAAATAAAGCAATGTGAACACAAATCTTGAAATTCAAATTGAGATCCCTCCTCTCTTGTGATCCCAATCCAACTGCTTTTCTGCCGACTGCCAGGCGCCCACTTTTAATCTAAGTTAGAAAAAACTTATAAATTAATCCCAAAAGCCACGTGGCCTCCCTCTTTTAAATCCCATCTTAAATCAACCCAAACAACAGTTTCTAAAATCCAAGAATTCCAAATTAAATGCTACAATATTAGAAGGGCATTTAGCTTGGCAAAATCCACGCCGCTCACTTGAAATCTCATCACTTCAAAGCCATTTTCAATATTGCCTCCCTCTTAGACCCCACCAATCCCCCACATGGGCCCCATGTATTCAATGATTTTCATGAAAATTCAAAAATATATATAGTATGCTATTAAAATGCATTACAAAAAAAAGGAAATATATGTGGGTGTAAATGAATAATTAAACAGTGACACAATAAAAGGTCACTCCTTCCATAAAAGTTAAAGACCATTTTAGCTAAACGCAAAGGATAAAAACAACTTGGCTCTCCGAAAGAGAAGCCAAGCGGACAGGGATAGGCCAAGGGGCGTTTTTGAGGGAGAATCTGAATTCAACAACAAATGACCCTTTGCCTTCCGCTAGTAATAGTACAATAATTGCTAACAAGTACAGCGACGAAATACTCTATTTATACAGCTAGGATTTTCCAGGGAGAAGGCCTAAAAGGCCAATAGAGAGACAGGCTGGAGGCAGAGAGAGAAGGCAAGAAGGGGTAGTAGGGGGCACCCCACAGCACAGCCCACACGATCTGTGAGGGAAGAATAAAAATTTGGTAGTACCCACAAAGGAGAAGGGGAATCAATCATGCCATCAGGTGCTAAGAAGAGAAAAGCTGCCAAGAAAAAGAAGGAGCAAGCAGCCAACAACATCAATTCATCAACTAACAATAGCCCACATGGTACTTTGCTTTGCTTTTTCTCTAAATCTTTGTTTTGGGTTTTGATTTTTTGGTGGATTTGGGAAGATGGGTTCTTTTTTAACTCGGTTATCCACCTGTCACCGTCATTCAGTTTTTGAAGTACTGTGTTGGAGATATCTAGTTAAAGAAATCAGCTTGGTTTGAGTGTTTAATAGCTAATACAGTGTCTAGTTCATGTCCTTGATTAATTGATTTGGTCGCTTTTCATCGGGATTGTCCTCCTTTAATCAGTTATTGTTTACTTGATTTTTTTTTTAAAAGATTTTCCTATATTTGTTTAGGTGTCTTCTGGCAAGTTTGAGCGTGTCATATCTTTTACTTGATTTTGACCTGCACTCTTGTTATTGAATGAACTTGCGTATCCATTTTCAAGTTATAGAGCGGTGCTTTTTAGTATTTGTTTTGGTTTTAGTTGGTATATTTTCATCGAAATTGATTGAAAATCATTTTTCTTAATCAATATGACATTCTGTCCCGCGGTTTTTCTAGTGTTTATTTTGGTCGTTTTTTGAGGGGATTGGTAAATTTGTTGTCCGCATAGTGACTGGAACTATTGTGATTCAATCAAATGGTGCCAGGAAATGATGATCCAAAAAGCCAAGATGAAAGGGACAGTGATGGTGGCGATGTTGGTTCCTCTGCATCTCAGGATGACCAAAACCACCAGAATGCATTCAGTCAGGGGGAGGAAGAAGGGAGAAGCGCACCATCATCTGTTCAATCGTATGTTACTGAGGACAAGTCAGTGGAAGAAGCAACTAGGGATGCAGAAAGCACGGAGAAATTAGGATTGGATGATGTTGTTGCTGTTAAAAATGATAAAGAGTTGGAACCTGAGGATATGGAGAGCACGCGTGTAATTATTCAACACATTGAGCATGATAAGAGCTCTAGCAGCAGCAGTAGGAGTAGCAGTAGTAGTTCGGATGATGAATCTGAAGCCTCTGAGAAGAAGTCGAAGGAAGAAGCCTTTAACTTTGTTCCTGAAGCAACCTCATATAATATTGAGGATAAGTCAGCTACTATTATGTCTGAAAAAGTTGCGAAGGTTGCTGAAAATGAAACACTCGGGGATGTTGATGGTAATTCTGCCGTGGAAACTGCTGCTGTTGACAATTTGGTTAAACCTGTGTTATCTATGCCAGAGGAAGTGGATCATGCTGTGGAATTTTCCATAAAAAAATCAGTAGTTTCTGATGTAGTTGAATCAGGGTTGAAAGAAAGTGAAGAGAAATTATTGCCGTCATCAAATGGGTTTTCAAGGGATGAATTGGAAGGAAATGAAGGAAAAATATTCCCGTTGTCAAGTACTTCTACTGCTGAAAGTAGTAATGTTGCAGAAAAGGTCCGAGATTCTGGGACTCCTGATTATTCTGAAAAGCAGGTATTTCTTGCCTTAGTTCTTTTCTAGAGTTGTCAGTTTGAGTTCTTTCTTTTTTAATTTGACTGAGAAGTGAATTCATGTTTATTTCTGAATTGGTCCACAGCCTCTTGTTGCTTCAACTCCACCAGTGGTGCAAAAAACCTCAGTGTTAAGTTGCTGTGGACTGTTTGATGTTTTTACTGGTTCTGGGAGATAATTGAAGGTTTGGATTATATTTTGAGTTAAAAAGTATATTATACTTTCCTGTGTAATTTGCCATACAGCATATTGAGATATGCTTGGTAGCTCATATCCTTTGTGCTTCTGGTTGTATTGAGAATACTAGGACTATGAAACTGCAACTTGAGATCTGGAACTCGTTGCTTGTCATTTGATTGTTTTGTCAGTTATCTGGTATTCTTTTGCAATTTGCGATGGCCTCATTGCTTGAAGTAAGCACTGATGGTTCTTGGTTGAACCAGATATACTTGATGAATGATGAGATGATGAAAGACCTTATGATAGCCTGTTCAACTCTCTCTGGTTAATTGTGTGCTCTGTAGTAAATTCTTTTAATTAATACTTCCATTTTCTTTACATGAACTTGGTAAAAGTTTCACTTGCATGTAATGCATGTATAGGTTTCTGTTCATATCTTTAATGTGCTGTTATAAGTTTCTGTTCATTATGTTAACCAGATGATCAGTTAGTAGCTTATTGGGTACCTTGAAATTGGTACTGAGAGGACTGCATTTTAGTATATTATTTTGGTTTGTCTTTAGTTCTCTTGGTAGTTGGTTTTGTCTTGTATTTTCGTCTCCCCTTGTTTTTTGAACATGATATTTCTGAGTTGAAAGTTCCAAAATTCTAACCATTGGGATGTCTGTTAGGGACAGTCTTCCAATTTTTTGTGTCTAATTATTTATTGGTTCAACTTTAGATATGGGCAATTGGGAAGCAGTCTTCTGTGACAAAAATATCCTGATCAACTTTATGTTGTGGTGGCCATTACTGATCTTGTCATATTGTTGGTTTATAGATGAATTTGCTTATGCCTTAAATACCATTGGTTATGCCATTTTATACTAACATCTTATAAGGTTGACATATTCCCCTTTACATGTCTGATATGTTTTGTGGTTTTCCTTGTGATGCAGAACCATCTGTTCATGGGGATTTGGTAGACAGTGGCAGTTTGTCAGAGTCACAAAGGCTTGATGTTTTTTTATTAAGAATAATGGACAACAGACCTAGCTAGAAAAACAGTTACAAGTTTTTGTGTCAGTGATAGCAATGACGCTGATAGTAGCAAGCCGTTCCTAGCTTTAAGTAAATTTTTTTATTGGCACTTTTGCAATGTAGCTTCTTAGCTGGGTTTGTGTTGTATGTAGTTCCCCTTGTTTTGGGTTGAGTGGAGTAGTTTCCGTAAAAAAATATAAGGTTTATGAGAGTGATTTCAACATGGTTGCTATTTTGGCTTTCATTTTCATGAATTTGGAAAATCTCTGTTCCTTTCAGCGAATCTATAATTTTGTTTTTCTTAGGTAAGACCGGAGGAGTGTGCGAATGGTACTCTTCAAGAGTTGCTTCTTGAACTTTTCATTTGGTGGACTAATACGTGACCATGGTATGCCTTGATTGACAACCTTGTAGAGCAAGAAACAAATGCATGCTGCCTCAATACTCTATGCTCAGGTCTTATATGGTCGTCCCCTTGCCACTGTCATAAGGTTATTTAATTGCAAACACCATCAAAGTTATCCTTAAGGACGAATTATTGTTTGCTGCTGTTTTGGGGCCAACGGGGGACTATGAAAGAAGCATGTAATATTGATGAAACCAGGTCAATTGCGGCAGAAATTTCAAACTGAACAGTTTTATTACAGGTTTATAAAAATCCAATCGTAGTCACGCCCATCACAGCACAACCAGAAACAGCCTTTGCGGCCTGTTTGTACATCTAAAGACTCGAAGGAATACAAAGAGAAAAATTCTTAGTGGTAAAAATATATATAAAAGAAGTACACACCACGCATTAACCATTCGACTGTGTTGTCATCTATACGCTACCGTGAATGGCTGCTATGTAAAAGAGCTGTGTAGCTGTAAGTATGATCAAGAATGCTTCCATTGTTCTCTGCAAAAGAAGAGATTGTTTATGTTTAAATTCACCACATAAAAACATTAGCCAACAAATTTATATATAACTGCAGTTTCGTTGATGGAATGAGCAGACATAGTTGAATGGACAATTGGATGAAAGCTGAATTTCATTCTTACCAGACGAGCATTCCTGATTTCAAGCTCAATTTCTTTGCAGGCAAATCTGCAAATGAAAACATTCTAGTTAGTATAGAAACAAATTAGCATTCAGTTCGGGGCTTGACGTCGTGAAAGATAAGTATATCAAAGCTTGTGTCTCAAGATGCCAGGGTTAGAGGCTGACCCCATGGCAAGTAAAGTAAGGGTCCAAGCAACGCCAGCAACTGAGGCTGCTGTTGGCAGGCTATTGGCATTCCAGGACCGAACATGGTTTAAACCGGCAATTGCTGATGCTGCACCAACAACTCCTGCTAACAAAGCAAATGTCACGAAGAATCCGGTGGCAGCATTGCCCATGGGGAAGTATATGGGTGAGAAATGTGCTGGGAGGTTGAAGTCAGGCCCTGCAAGTGTCGCACAGAGAAGCCAGCTTGAGTCTTACGACGACATTATATTCTAATATTTACTTATGATAATAAGGTTACTCCTTCACTAATTGTATGTATATGTGAGAAAGAGTCAAAGACAGGAAGGTAATTTACCGATGATAAAACCATGATCAATGGCTCTATTCATGGCCCATCCACCAATGCCCAAAACAATGACATACATGCAGAAATTAAGGAGCAAAAGAAGTGTAGCAACGGGTTTCATTTGAGGGTTGGCCATCGCCTCGTACTATCTGATGATGTTAAGATGAAAAGTTGTAGGAAGAAGAAAGAAGTTTGGGAGTTTTTCAGGACTCTGAAAAGGTTTCTAAATTGCAGGAAAGATTTGTCACAGGCACATGTGATTTGTGTCGAATGGAGGCTTATATATATGAAATCAAATGAAGGGTTTGGTTCTTTCCTTGCTAAGGCTGCGGGTTCCAAAGAATTCTGTGGGGTTGTAAAGAGCATGCTTCATGTTCAAGGCAAGCCTTCAGACCATAAAAGGCAGAAAACCAAATTCTTGCTTGGTTCGCATTTTCAGGTATTCTTTTTAAATGGTACATTCTTGAGCTAGGCTTTGTGCTGTAAGTTGTTCCTGGGAGGAAAAGTCATATTCTTATATTCTTTGCCAGTTGATGGAGGGCTGATTGGAAGTTCATCTGGACCCCCTTTCAGGCCCAATCGTGTCATCTGCCACGTGGAAAGTGAGTGTCTTTCCCCTCAAAGACTAAATCTTTCTTCTCCAGATTTAACTGCCTATCAATGCCATTCTCACAATTAGCTTTCATTAAATGAGGGGTTAACCCTGTTTTCTTTTTGTAAACTAAAAATCGATAACCAAAATATTTTCAAACAAATAAAATAACAATGGAACTCCTATCCGATGCGTTTCATTGACCATCAGGGATCAAGGGCACCAACAAGTGCCTAATATACCTTTGGAAGTTGCTTTGTTCTTCTTTCTTTTGGTGACCGTTATGAACAAATGCAATGTCCAAATCTCGCGCGCATTTTTTCAAAAAACCAAATATTCAAATACCCTTTTCACCATCTCAATCTTCCGATCCTTTTCTTCAACGAATGTTAAAATATTGTCGCAATCTTTCACTACGATTTCTAGTAACCAGAAATCACGCCCCCCCAATTATAAATTTTTACTCTCCGATCACCTAAAGAACCAAAGCGTAGACGAAGCTCGCGACATTTTGAACAAAATCCCATTCCCTGGGGTGCATTTATACACCATGATGATTGATGGGTACGCGCAAAGTTATCGGCTTGATGATGCAATGGCACTGTTCGAGAAAATGCCGGTGAGAGATACAGTTTCTTGGAATTCAATGATTAAAGGGTGTTTGCATTGTGGGGATTTAGTTACGGCTAAGAAGCTTTTCGATGAAATACCGGGAAGGAATGTTGTTTCTTGGACAACGATGGTAAATGGGTACTTGCAGTTTGGGAAAGTTGAGGTGGCTGAAAGGTTGTTTTTCGAGATGCCTGCGAGGGATGTCGCGGCTTGGAATTCGATGATTTACGGATATTTGAAATTTGGGAGAGTTGAGGAGGCAATGAGTTTGTTTCGGGGGATGCCTAATCGGAATGTGATTTCGTGGACTGCAATGATTGGTGGGCTGGATTATAATGGACGGAGTGATGAAGCTTTGGTTTTTTTTAAGAAGATGGTGGGTTGTGGTGTTGAGCTGAGTTCAAGCACGTTTTCTTGCGTTTTGACGGCTTGTGCAAATGTGATTGCATTGCATTTGGGTGTTCAGACTCATGGTCAAATTGTTAAGTTGGGATTCTGTTTTGATGAATTTATACGTGCTTCGCTTTTAACCTTTTATGCAAACTGCGAGGCAATGGAAAATGCTTGCAAGGTTTTCAATGAGAAATTGCATGGAAATGTAGTAATATGGACAGCTCTTTTAACTGGGTATGGCCTGAATCATAGGCATGAATCTGCATTGATGGTTTTTGGAGACATGATAAGAATGAGTGTCCTCCCAAATCAATCTTCTTTTACTAGTGCTCTGAATTCATGCAGTGGATTAGAGACTCTAGACAGGGGTAAAGAGATCCATGCTGTAGCCATCAAGCTAGGTCTGGAAGCTGATGCATTTGTTGGTAATTCTCTAATTGTTATGTATACTGTATGTGGGAATGTTAATGATGCTCTAGCTGCATTTAGTAGTATTGATGAAAAAAATATTGTCTCGTGGAACTCAATTATTGTTGGATGTGCACAGCATGGTCAAGGCATGTGGGCTTTGACACTCTTTGGAAGAATGATACGTGCTGAAGTTGATCCAGATGAGATCACTTTCACTGGGTTGCTCTCCGCTTGCAGCCACTCTGGAATGTTGCAAAAGGGGAGATGCTTTTTTGAGTATATTAGTCGATATAAATCCACTGCAATGAAGCTTCAGCACTATGTTTGTATGGTTGATGTCTTGGGTCGAACTGGGAAGTTGGAAGAAGCAGAGGAGCTAATTAAAAATATGCAGGTGAAAGCAAATTCAACAGTTTGGCTAGCTTTGCTGGGTGCTTGTAGGATGCATTCCAACTTAGAAGTAGCTGAAAGAGCTGCAAAATCCATTCTTGATCTAGAACCACATTGCAGTGCCGCTTATGTTCTATTGTCTAATTTATATGCTTCTGCTGGTCAATGGAGTGATGTCTCGAGAATGAGAGTACGGATGAAACAGAGAGGAATTGTGAAACAACCAGGTTGCAGTTGGGTTACTGTAAGGGGAGTTCGACATGAGTTTGTTTCTGGAGATAAGTCTCATCCTTTCAGTGAAGAAATATATCAAAAGCTGGACTGGTTGGGAGGAAAGTTGAAAGAGTTCGGCTACGTGCCTGACGAGAGGTTTGCCTTGCATGATGTGGAGGATGAGCAGAAGCAAGAGATGTTGTCTTATCATAGTGAGAGGCTTGCCATTGCATTTGGGTTGGTTACTACCGCAGAGGGCAGCACACTAACAGTGATGAAGAACCTTCGTGTATGCGGCGATTGCCATAGTGCCATTAAGCTCATAGCAAAAATTGTTGGGCGTGAGATCGTTGTAAGAGATTCTACACGCTTTCATCACTTTAAAAATGGCATCTGCTCTTGTGGTGATTATTGGTAGCAAATCACAGAGATTTTCATCTTTCACAACAATTTTGGAGGGGAGGGGCTCATGTAACTAAGTAAGAGAAGGATTGAGGATTTTGTTGAGAACTCATGGATCTTGATGCATGGAAAATTACTATAGTTTACTTGAAAAGTGATCAATTGAAGAACTTGAAACTAAAGCTTTTAGCTTTAAATAATAATTGTATTTCCTTTTAATGCATCAGAAGCAAAGTTAGCAAATTAAAAAAATTAAAAAGGCCAATCAAAAGTCACCACGTATTAAAGTTGACCCCGAAATCCGTCTTGGTAGTACTCTTCCTTCCCTTCCGTTAAGGCGCGAAAATATTTCTCACTCTTTCTCCCCCTCCACTCTCGGCAACGGAAATCTCTCCCTTTCTGCAACCATTTAGTCGAGTTGAAGCTTCTCTTTGGCGTTAGCTTCGTTCAATTAAAGCTATCTTCTTTTGGTTTTTCGTTCAGTCTAAGAAGCAGTAAAATCAGTCCAAAATTCCGTCACCGCAGGAACGAACTCGAATTGCTTTTCTTTTTTTTCCTTGTGGTAACCTTTTCCGTCAATCTAATGGCAAGCTCTGTGATATCGTCGCCATCATCATCATCATCATCATCGCGCATCCATCACCCGGAGGAGAACGAAGGCGAAGAGGTCGAAAACAAAATTTCAGATCTGAATCAGCAATGCCAGGGCCTAGGGCACGAGGTATCTCGATTAATCCTTGACAACGGAGGAAACAACGAGAAATTAATGTCATTAAAGCGTAGGATTGAAGAATTTAACCAAGGTGAAAGTCAGCTAAATCGTGAAATTGAGCAACTTGAACGGAAAGTTCTAATGTTGATGCTTGAAAAAGGGTTAAAAGATGATAAATTGGAGAAATTTGGAGTCGAGGAAGAAATTGAAAAGTGTGAGGTTTTGAAAGAGAAGAATTCGGAACAAAAGTGTTTGGATTTGATGCTCAAAATAGGGGAAAGCAATGATAAATTTAAAGATTTGGGGATTGGTATTGAAGAAACCAAGAAATGTGAAAAGGCTGAGGTTGTTACAGAGTTTGGAACTGATCTTATTCGGCAGCAAGCGAATCCAAGGGAACTAGTTTCGGATAACGAAGAGCTCGCGGAGAAGTTTGAAACGATGGGGAATGTGATTGATGAGGTTGAGTGGAGTGATGGTGATACTGAAAACGAAATAAAAGAAGTGAGTGTGAGTGATGATGGTGAGGGGGAGGAAGAGATTGGGGAGATTGGGGCGCGTGAATTGTGTAAAGAAATTGAGCTCTTGGAGGTGATGTTGGAGAGGGGAAGTTTTGGTTTGCTTGATTTGAAGACGATGATGGAAGAAGTCGAGGCTTTGAAAGGGCCGGAGAAGATGATGAGTGAAATGGAGGTGAAGATGGGGGAGTTGGAGTCTGGGTTGTCGGAGCTGAAGAGTGCTATTGTGGATTTAAAGGGCAAGAAGAGCAAAGAATTGAGGGGTTGGGTTTCAAAAGAGGAAGAGAAGGAATTGGAGTGTGATGGACAGGAAGAGGTGAATGTAAGAAAGCTGAATTGGGGTTCAATTATGGCATCAGTCGGAGCTGTCGTTTTAGCTGCTGCTGCTGCTGTCATGCTTTTCGCAGGACGCAGTAGGAAGAAGGCTGCAGTGGAGAGGGGGAACAAGCAGAAAAGTGGTTAAACTTTCCTTCCTATGTGCATCTGTGTTATTGGTCATGTTAGCCTTTTTTTTTTTTGGTAGTGATTAGATTGCTAAGCAAACATGATGAGGGGATGTAGGAATGAATTGGGTTGTATATCTAAGTAACTCTTTGTGAATATTTGCAGTCTTAACTCCCTCATCACTGTGCATTGTCAATCCCTATATTCAGGAAGTTAGTGTTGGGAGCAGTTTTAATTTGCAATGTAGTCTACCAACTTATACCTATCAAATTTTCTGGTGTGGTTCATGTTGATAATTCATAGGCTTCACTGTTGTCTTGCATTTCAGAGCACAAACAGCTGTAAATTGAATAGGGTTTCTTCTGTACTGAAGTGTATTTTATTACTTGAGCAAGATTAGAGTAATTTTGTTTAGAGACAAGAGCAAGGAAATAGAAGCTGGCAACTCTGGTGTTATGAACTTTAGACCAAGTTTCATGTCATATTAAATGACATAAGAGAACAAACAAGGGCCCGAGAACTCACTTCTACAGAGACCATAAAATACTTGGTAGCATAACTTATTGGCGATTTTGTACAAACAGCTACTCAAAAGCCACAAAATTGCTTTGGCTAGTGTTGAATTTGCCATTGTATATTTGTCTTGCATATGTTCCACATAAAAACAAAGAGATCACATAACAGATGTGCTAAGTACCTTCAGCACCTGCAACAAGGAACAGATATCAAGGATGCCATTTTATCAACTGAGGGGATTGGATTGATGAACAAATTTTGCTTAGTGTAGAGGGTTTTGACACAAGGGTTTAGTTCCACACGCATCAATTATAACAGGGAAGATTTGTATTGGATACGAGAGGCAGCATTCATAGTTTGCAAAAAGAGCTAGACGCCACGGGTGCTATTTTAGGGGGTAAATCCCCCTTATAAGCTTATTCCAATGCAGGGAGCTAAAAGTTCCATCACTAAAAATTTTCATCCAAGGTAGGTATATTCTCCAAGCTAATCAGGATCAGCTCAGCTGATATCCAACTTTATATATGTAGCCATGCATGCTCATGAGTTACTCCGACCTCTTGGGGATTGTATTGGGCCAAGCTATGACATTCTTTCTTGGTGTTCGATAATATAATACACGTCATGCAGCTCGTCAGGAAACATCCGAAGTTGGAACTTAAAAACGTGCAAGTTAGGGGCTCAGATTCAAATACTTAGCAAAAGAAGAGGTATGGTTTATGAATTGCAAGAATATTTCTTTCTGTATGATATTCATAAGGTTCAAACTAATTGGTCGATGAAATGTTCTCCGCATAAATGAGCTTGAAGGGTTTGGTCAAACAGTCCCTGTCTTGTTCAGTAGTGGAAGTGGTGGATGCAAATTTGCTGAAGGGAGTGGAGGAACATTTTACTGCTAAACGATACATAAGGAATTGGCCTTGGATTGTTCTGCAGAGTCACATGAAGGAAGAGAAATATTGTGGAAGTTGTGGCCATTCTCAAAAAGATCAAATAAAGGAATCTAAACGATGCTGGAGTGTCCAATGAGAAGCCCCGCAAAAATTAGGCCTAGGAATATGGAACTAGTATATTTTTAGCATTTCTTTTGTTTTTGCGCTTTTCATGGTTCCACCAACGATAGGATTGCCAATGTGCTGCAGAAGCAAATGTTTAGTTCCCCAAAAGACACTA